GCATCGCTTACGTAATCATTCGATAGGGATGTTGCTTATATTCTAAATATTAGTCGATAAATCTACGGCGATGACATCATACGTGTAATCGCACTAAGTTATTCCGAAGGTACAAGTTCTGGAATTTAACCACTGGGGTCTTTAGTCAGTGATTAGACTGGTCGAGGATCCTGCCTTTAAGTCGGAGAAAGAGCAGCACCTTCCTTCGACCACTTATATGCCTTATATCGAAAAGCTTGCAACGGAAAATTTATAACAATTTATTTATTTATTTATTTACAGAAATATATATCGCCAATACGATAATGTCGAGATATAATATAATAAAGTATATAATATTAAACACATAATATTCACAATATCGATACTATGAATTCACTCCGCGAACATATAAATATTATGTTGATAGTATCGGAGAGCATTCAGTAGGCGCGATCACGGGGATCTGTTCAACATACTGGTTCTGGCTCTTGGTATCGCAAATAACCTTGGCCTTCGCTGTCGCACATAACCCATAGACAAAGAAACCGAGTTAATAGAGCATACTTTGGTTGCACATTATCCCCCGCAAGTCTTTTTCCTCTGGTCCCGTCTGGTTTCCAATTCATTGTAGGTACCTCACAATCCATAATACAAATAATTATATCAACATAATACTTGAATAGTTTTACTTACTTTAATTAGACGAGGCGATACTAGAACAATTTTTTTAATACAATTAAAAAATAATAATAATAATAAAGCCCGTTTTATTTCCAATCATGACAAAACAAATTATAATACACAGCTTAGATTATTTTACATTATTTTTCTTTTGCTTGTTATCCTATATCCTAGCTTCCTTCAGAACCGTCGATCGTAACCCCTTCACGGGTAAAGGTCTCCTCCAGATTTATCCAACTGACTCTGTCTATGGCTCTCTTTCTCCATTTCCTGCTACCGCTTCTATTTCTTCTATCCACCTTTTTTTGGGCGACCTCTTCTCCTTCTTCATCTTGGTACTTTCCATACGTTCTATTATTTCTACTTATTCGAGTCTTACTACGTCTAAATTATCGAAGTGGTCACACCCCAAGCCTACGTGATCTTGACTATGCAAAACTGTACTGCGAGGTGTTGCGATCAAATACGCCACAGCATTAGATCTACTAGGCCTCGAATTGTAAAACGCAAACCTCATCTAAATGTCTGTCACATATGTAGATAGCCATAGTAAAGGCAAGCTTAGGAAAACTATGACTGCTGTAAGTCAAAATAATTTGGCGCACAATTCTGACTTTTACCCTACAAAAAGCTACGTTAATAGAGATTGCGTCGATTAACGAAATAATTAGTTAATTAGCTGGGATTATAATCCCTAATAAAGAATTGACGTTATCTAACAACGAAACCTTTCAATATAGGTAGCGATGACGCTTAAAATGTAATACCGAAGTAACCAGCAGTGTTGGCTTAGTCGTTTGAACGTGCGCCTCTGAACCCTGAGATCGTGCTTTCGAATGGTGAAGGAAAATATCGTAAGCATTGAGTTAGACCCCAAAATTTGTGCTACAAATGGTTTACCTACTAAAGAAAAAAATGATGACGAAACAGATACAGAAATCTCCAATACCTAGAATGTAGCGCCACTGTTTTATTTACTAGAAATCAATATTGAAATCGGAATCGTTTAAAAATTGTGTTTACTATAAATTAGAGAAATTACATAGTTACTAATGGTACTTAAATTATTTATTAATTTAATAATAATAACAAAAGCCGTTATTCACTAACCAAATACATAATTTTAACCTAAGCCATTACATACATTTTAACCATTTTTATAGCCCTTTAGGTATCAACAGCCAGTTAGTTAGTCAGATTGTCTTCCGACATAGGCCTCCCCCTGTTGTTTACACACGTCTCTTTCACGGGCTAATCTTCTTATTATATTTAATAAGGCAAAAAAATTATATATATAAATTTTTACCTTAGTAAAATTAAAATTTTAATATCAGGTATTATCGTGGCAAAAGAGAAAATGCGGCGATTGCGGTTGCAAATTGCAGTTTTCTGTTAAAGAAAATACGCTATTATAAACATTACCGGTACATAGGGGAAAGTTTTAAAGTGGCCGTTTAGTTTTAGCTTGCTAGGAAAAGTCTGCTTTATAAGAAAAATATTAAAGTGAAAATTTCGCAAGTCTAAATTAATGATTGATACGAGCGGTGTTGGCCTAGTAACCTACGAACTCATCCCTGAGTTCGTAGGTTCGATCCCTGGCTGTGCACCAATAGACTTTCTTTCTATATGCGCATTTAACATTCGCTCGAACGGTAAACGGTCTTAGACCCAAAAAGTCGACGGCATGTATCAGGCACTGGAGGCTGATCACCTACTTGCCTATTAGATTTAGCAATGATCATGAAACAGATTCTGAAATCTGAGGCCAAGACCTAAAGAGGTTGTAGCGCCACTGATTTATTTTATTTTTTAAATTAATGATACATAATACGCGTTTCATGTAGAGTCAATTTAAATTGTATCTAACTAATCTATATAATAAATTGACTATACAATACTAGCTATAACCCGTGTAAATTCGGTAGCTCGTTATTACAAGTTCAAGGCCATTTCCCTTCACCGTTTAATAAACTTTCCTACACGATTTTATAAAATTCAAACCTCCTTAAATAAGCGGTATGTTAAGTTTATATTATATGTAGAATTCGTCCGATTATCATACTTTCCCATAATGCTAATTGAATTTCAAATAAAAGATATAATAATTACCGCTATCATTATGTTAATAAAGCTTCCTATATAACTTCACTTAACTGTCTCTAAACATTGATAGCAATATTTAGTAATACACCAATCGTTTAGTTAGAATTATTTATCTAATATATAAAATTCTCGTGTCGCGGTGTTTGTGGTTAAACTCCTCCGAAACGGTTCGACCGATTCTCATGAAATTTTGTGTGCAAATTGGGTATGTCTGAGAATCAGACAACATCTATTTTTCATCCCCTCAATGTTAAGGGTAGCCCTAATTTTTTTTTATTTTTAGATATTTTTTTCTGTTTTTATTTTTTTATGATACAGCATTAAAAAATACATACAACCCGTAACTTTCACCCCTCTACGATCAACCCCTATTTTTTTATTATAAATTATATACATGGCAAAACGACGTTTGCCCGGTCAGCTAGTTTTCTATAAAGAAACACGTATTAAATATAAAAACTGTACGTAATTGTTAAAATGAAAAAAATCCACAAAAAATATTTTCTACACATTTACATTTATTAGTTACGGTGTAGGTATTATTTTGAATCGTTTTGCATTAAAATACTATTTTAGCTACGATTTTAAATAAAATAATAATACATATTAACATAAAATCATATAAACTTAAAAAAATAATATGTGATAAACGTATTTTTATGTTTTCTGTGTTAAGTTTTACTTCGACATACAAAATAATATATTTAAGTAACTGGAGGATGTGTCATATTTCTATTTTTGATGATAAATTACAAATAAAATATTGATATTATTGATAGAATTTATATTTTTCATACATAACAAAATTTTACCGCGTAATATATTTATACTTCTGTCAAAGTGGAAAATGTTTGGTTTGTTTAATTAGGAAATAGCATGTCTTCCGTTTCTGGCTAAGAACCACATCCTTCCTCACCAGACTTTCGTCAAGGTTCGGCTTCGGAAGCAGCTGAAACCAATCACCTGTTGTATCTTTGTTCCCTTGCATTACCGGATGTTCCCACGAAACACAAATGGTCGCCATTTCCAAGCGTCGATCATATTTTGCGATATGCATGTAACAACATCTTTCTTTATTTAACTTCCGAAGTCCCGAAACATAGGTACCTATTATATCTTATTTAAAGAAAACACTTTTTTACCGGTAAAAAAGTGTTTTCTTTTTTGTCAATAAAAGACAATACTACATTATATCTTATCAAGTATTAAAAAAAAGTTTTTATCATGACGAGTATTACAATAAACGTGAAAAAAAATTTAGTTCTAATTTTTTTTTTTTTTTTTTTTTTTTTTTAAATAATTTTTTTTTTTAACCCCCATCCGAATTATTCCCGAATCAGCTTTTAAATATAAAAAAAACACTTTTGTAAATATGTATACAGTATTAATTATTCAGTGCAATTACTAATTACACTAATTAATTATGGAATTTGAACTTAATGGCCAAGTTAAAGGATTACATTGACTTAAATGGTGAAGTTGAAAGTAGCTGATACAGTTATTAAATCCTGAACAATTTAAATAAAGTGTATACAATTATTATTTATATATATATATATTTATGGATATATTTAAACTTTATTTAATATAGTAATGACAACATAACATAATTTACGTTTCTTATTAAAATACCAAAGTCAATAAATGTACTTGTTTTTACTATTAATATTATAAGTCAATTCATCCTTGTAATTTCTATATTAAAAATTGCAATCATAATAACGTATTTTTATAAGAGAATGCTGACAAGAGATGACAGACATCGCTGCACATACCTGCTGTCATACCGCATCTGTTATATAGTACTATCCTTGTTTAACGTGCATTAGACGTCCTTATTAAGAGAGAGATAAAAAACTTTCTTAACCGGTGCTCTGGAAGCATGCGGCTGCAAAATGGCACGCGCTTTTCCATTCGGCTTTCGAATCGCGTACGGTGTAGTCGTGACGTTCCGTCTTAGCGCAATACGTTTACGTACTTCGTAACATAAGTTTTGATTGCGATAATTCAGCGGGCGATTATAACGGATATTGTGAAGTGATTAAAATTATAGAAATACCGCGGAACCTAAGGTTGTGTTCAGTGAAAGTGCATAAAAACTATCTGGGACGAAGAAATTGAAACTCTTGCATTAAAATAAATAGATTTATGGAGTTCTCGACCGAATAATCGTCGCTGCGTGACGATGCGAATTGGAAGTTAGAATCGTGGATTCGTGGATTTTCACGGGCTTT